CGGAAATGACAACCTATACATCGTGTAGATTGTCATTATTGGCAGAGAAGTGCTGTCCGATGGACAACGTTCACCACGTGTAGCGCAATCACTGCTCATTCAGGTCGCACTGAAGACCTAAATGAGCAGACCTATGGAGACTCGATGTGGTCAGTCAGGTTATCAGTTGCGGCCCGGGGTAATATGCCCTATATAGCAATAGTTGTTTAATGTCGACGGCCTGACGGATCTGAACGGGGGTTCGCCTGTTCCCCTGTTATCTAGAGGTCCGCCTGTTCCTCTAGAACAACTAGCCACAGTTTTTGTATGTATCTTCAGCCAGCTTTGAGTACCCTGGGTAATGTGCCCTATACCAATAGTCGTTCACCAGATCAACTAGGTCTCAAATCGCTGACTGACGATATGCACAGAGTCAAGCATGCCCTCTGCAGTCTAGAGATTCGCCTGTTTCTATAGATAAAACTTAGGTTAGCGAGTGCCTCTAGACAGTTCGGCCGGAACTGGTTCCGAGTCTCTGCCCGAAATATATGCCACAAAAATGTGTTTCAAGTTATTGTTGTCTTGCTTATTTGCCACTTGTTCGGTATTAACTATCTGTCTCTTTCCAACATATTCAACTTCATTAACAACTTTTTACATCCATCCATAAAGTTTAGCAACAGCAAAACAACCAGGCAACTTTTAGCTACATGTACACGTAATGTCATAAAATTCTGGGCAATAATGGCGAAGAAAATTTGTTAACAAGACGGCAACATGTAAACAACACGCTTCGTTGTGACTTGTGAGCCTTGCTCGGCAAAGTTTATAAAGGTGAATTTATTTATAGCGTTTTAATTTAACTTGGATCAATAGGTTGGATCATTCATTTCTCCCTAATCAAGTATTCAGTATTAAATATAGGTGTTTGTACTGGATCTCTAGTTACAATTTTAAATAGCTTTAAAAAACTCATTAATAATTCAGGAGGAAGACACAAAGAAAAATCATAAGCGTGTCGTATCTTTATATGTGATAAAAAATCATGTTAATTTACATAAACTTTAGCTTTGATTTTCTCGGTTTAGACAAGGTTTATTTTGAAAATTACTTCGCTAATGTACTCATCAGAAGATGGGTCGTTTTTTAAGCCATTTAAAGCACTTGTAGTCGTATTTTATCAGATATAAAACGCTCGGCTGCGCCTCGCGTTTTATATCTGATAAAACACTCCTACGCGTGCTTTAAATAGTACATAAACAAGAATATTTCGAAGTAAATACTGTTACTGTATATTTCACTATAAAACTGTTTTCATATGAAAACAAATTTGCATTCGGCCCCTGTTTTATTTAATATCAGTAAGACAGTAATATATATAGAGGATATCACACGGCGGCGCGAAGATATGACTTTTATCTTCGAGTGATTAAAACAATATTTACGAACAAGCGCAGCGAGAGAGTAAAATATTGTTTTTAACACGAGATGATAAAAGTCATATCTTCAAGCCACCGTGTAATGTTCTAGCCGCATGCAGTTAGAGTAGCATCGTCTGCGAATATTCTGACACTAGACGTATGAACACAATTTGGTAAATCGTTTATATAAACTAGGAAAAGCAAATGACCTAAAATAGATCCTTGGGGGACTCCGTAATTAATATTGTGGGAATTAGATAAATGCCCATTCGCGTAGCACAATTGTGACCGATTTCCTAAATATGAACTAATAAAATTAAGTGCG